ACTGTGAAACACCAAAAGTTAAAGAGACAAGCCAGCTAAATCCATTCTAACTTTTCCTTTTTAGTTTGGATATTTTTCTGTTTTTTTTTTTTCGTCGATTTTCTCTCATTATCACTGAGATTATATTATGGTGAAAAAAAAAATGTGTAAAAAGGGCAATTTAGCATCCAATAAGCCTCAAGTGTAGCTAACATGAAAACGCCATTATCTAAAGAATTTTGGATCTTTTTCCACTACGAAATATGATTTTGGTATCTTCATGAAAATCTTAATCGATGTGACGTATTAGGATACTGTGGGGGATTAGTGAGGTAATTATGGTGCATAACAACATGATTTCCGCTTCGTTAACATCTTGATTTGTGGAAAATATTGATTGTTAATTGCAATGATTAGCATTATAGTACTAATTATAACTTTCATGTAAACATCAACTTGATACGGACCCACTCAAAGCAAAACTCACAGAATCTTTGGGTTATAATTCACTAAATCCAATATTTTAATTAAATTTTCACTAATAGATCTCTCTCTCACCCACATGGCCACATATCATTACAAAAACAAATTTTCTATAGATAGTGAAATGTAAAGTAACAAATGTACGTACTTATTATTATCAATATATGCAATAATGCTGGTATTCTTTTCTAAATAGAAAATACTAATCGATTAAATTTCTCAATATAATAATGGTAAATTTTGTTTTATATAATGGTGAAATAATAAAAGCAATGTGACAAGATTAGAAAATAACAAAGACCATCTAAATTCAACTTTGATAGTCACATGGCTATAAAATTAAAAGCATACAACCTCTAACGAAGAACTCTTCACTTGTAGATTAATGTCTGTTTCTTTTAACTACATGTAGGAGTAGGACCTCTCTTCGATAATCACATTGTATCCACTCTATTTTATTTATGTTTTATGCTGATTTATTTTGTCATTTATACTATATAAAATCCTCCAGTACATTACTAATGTTTTTTTTTTTCAACGACGGCAGTATAAATGATTTTTATTGTTAAAAAAACTATACATGATTTATAACGAAAGAAATATGAATCATATTGATTGACTAAAGTCAGCTCACGCCTAATTAATCGGTGACAATCTAGTGGGCAATAATGCGTATAACTTAGGACATGTTTTGCTTCTTTTAATTACTATATATTCCACAATAATGTGTAATACCAACATTTATTTATATACACTAATTTGTTATGTAGAGTCAATTTCACGTAAACTTTAATACATGTGAGTAATACCCATAGATTGTGATTATAATATATGAACTTATGTTATACATGTGAGTGATACCCATAGATTGTGATTATAATAATTACACCGGTCCAATAATATGTGGAATACCTAAAATTTTCTCCATATATAATCCAATAATTTAATAGCTTTAGGTATTCTACCATATGGAAAAAAAAAATTATGTTTGGTCTCTTGATAATTGGAATTTTTTTTTCTGTTTGCTCATACCTCATAAGCATACTCAGGAAAAACACCATCCTCAGAGTCAGTCTCAACATAGAAATGTAAATATGCAGCGCTCATCCAGATGACGGCTTTGGAAGAAGTAAACGGCAGTGATTACCTTACAGTTAGCATCCGGTGAAAACTCATCGTCAACGAGTACATTGGTTGAACGCAAGAGAGAGCCCTTGACCTTCCCCATTAGGGTCTTCTCCATCAATTCCACAAGCTCGACAGAGCTCAACAACTGCTCAACTACATGGATATCCAACAACAAGACACCATCTTTAGGAAGGATGGAGAATCTATGGAATTCTGAGTCAGACAACATTACAGCCTCAATTCCAAGCTCCGAAAACCTTGTTTGGACCGGAGGAATCTGGAATATAAATATGAAGACATGACAAGTGGAGACTAGTGGTGACAGAAATTAAACAAATTTTCTAAAAATAGTGAAATCTAAAGTAACAAATGTACATAC